GGCATTCCTAATTTTAGAATATATTTCCTTTCTCTGCAATTAATATATTTGCTTTTATATGGTTTTGTCTCATATATAAAGGGTTTCTTGTGAGATTTCTTGGCGTGTGAAGAGGACTCGGACATGCACAAGATTTGTTAATACAATAATTGTGAGTTATTGTCTATATTAGTCGGTGGTAATAAAAACAAAAATCTTCATTTTGGAAGCACATGATCTTATTTGTAAAATTTTTATAGTTGAGAATTAATGCTTGTGTTTATTTTCATGGTAACTAAAAGACCATTGCAGTGGAAATGGTGGAGGAATTTTTTGATGAAAAGCAAAATGAGAGAGAGAGAGAGAGTTTATTGACATAACCAAAGGTGGAGAAACCCTATATTTTATTTGATTATGCATTTTAAAGTCGAATAAGATTTTCATTTGTAATCCTAATTTATATTTTATTAATGGAGAAATAATTTTGATGTGTTATGTCTTTTTTTAAAGATTTATAACTCTTTAAATACGTTAAAATCAAGGTAAATCAGAATTCAGAATAAATAAAAAAACACAACAATTGATCCGAAATTAAGATGAAAATTTAAAAAGAAAAAAGAAAAATAACAAGATCCTTTTTTCAACAAACGCTCTTTAAAAATTTATGTACACAACAAAAGAATCACGTTCTACTTAAATACATATATTTTTTGTTTATGCTTAATTTTCCTTATAAAAACTGAAGACATTGAGCAAGGAGCCTGCACAGCGAAAAAGGCAAGGTGGGCAAGGAGAAAATGGCATCCATTCTAGCTGTTGGCACTGCAAATCCACCCAACTGTTTCGACCAGGCTGACTATCCAGACTTCTACTTCCGAGTCACTAAAAGCGAGCACATGACTCAGTTAAAGGACATGTTCAAGAGAATATGTAAGCAATACACATGCGCATGATAAGAGCTCCACTCCATGCATGTCTTTCTGCCATTAATTATACATGACAGCTCCCTTTATATACATATACATATAAGTCTAATTACATGTGAATATCTGAGCAAATATTCCCACCAAATGGCGAGGCAGGATTTATAGTTAATGAACCAAAAATCTGGAATCCTCTAAATCCATGATTTGATTTTGTGTTTCAAAATTTCTAAAAGAAAATTAATTTTTTTACTTCAAATTATTGTTTTTAGTATTTTTTAGATTATTTTAATGTGCTAGTATTAAAAATAAATTTTAAAAAATAAAATAATATTATTTTGATGTATAAGTACTTTTTAAAAAAAAAACAATCATGAAATAAGGGTAAAGACGGGCAAGTAGAGGATAATGAAAAAAAAAGTAGTCTTTTTAAGGTTATATACATATTGTGTCCGTTATAAAATACCAAAAAAAATAATAATCAAGTTTTAACTCCTTTAAAACTACTCTACCTCAGCCTAATAAAGTGATATTGCAGTTAAAAATACTATTTAAAAAAAAATTAGACTAAGAAAAATTAACATCGACTTAATTTGAGTATGCAACTTAAAATTCATATAATGGGATCGAAGCCCATTTCATCTCCTATTGGAAAAAAAAGCACTTTGTCTATTTAAGGTACCATGGCATTGCGGTGAGAATTTTGAATTTTTTTAAAAAGTTTTAAATTAAGTGTTTTATTTTTTTAATGTATTGATATTACAAATCAAAAAAGTATTATTTTAATATTTTTTTCAAAATAAAAATACAATATTAATTAATAATAACAATATCATGCCTCCAAGTGAAAGTAAAGAAAAGCATCAAGAAAGAAAGAAAGAAAGAAAGAAAGAGTTCGGCGTATTTGCCTAAATCCTATGATCATATGTTTTCATTTTTCTTGGCTGATGCGCAGGTGAAAAATCCAAAATAAGGAAACGTTACATGTATCTCACCGAAGATACTATCATGAAGAACCCAAGCTTAAGCACCTACGATGCCGCGTCTTTCGACGCACGTCAAGAAATTCTGGTCACTGAGGTCCCCAAGCTCGGCAAGGAAGCAGCAATGAAGGCCATTGAAGAATGGGGCCAGCCCAAATCGAAGATCACCCACCTTATATTTTGCACTTCTTCAGGTATCCATATGCCGGGTGCAGATTATGAGCTTACTAAGCTCCTTGGCCTTGAACGTTCTGTCAAGAGATTCATGATGTATCAACAAAGATGCTTCACAGCAGCCCTAGCCCTCCGCCTTTCCAAAGACCTTGCTGAGAATAATCCCGAAGCACGTGTTCTCGTCGTGTGTTCTGAGAACATGACTGTTTGTTTCCGGGCACCATCTGAGACTCACTTGGATATTCTTGTAGGCTCTGCGATTTTCTCTGACGGTGCTGCTGCTGTCATTGTTGGGGCTGATCCTGACACAGCTACCGAGCGCCCTTTATTTCAACTTGTGTCAGCGGAGCAGTGTATTGTTCCTGACTCGGATGATGGAATAGTTGGTCACATACGTGAAATGGGGATGTCCTATTACTTGCATAAAATGGTGCCCAAAATCGTTGCGAAAGGCGCTGCGCAATGCTTGGTAGAGACATTCAGTGCTCGATATGGGATCAAGGACTGGAATTCTCTGTTTTACATTGTCCATCCTGGAGGTCCAGGCGTTTTGAACAAGTTTGAAGAGCACATTGGCTTGACGAAAGATAAATTAAGAGCAACTCGGCATGTGCTAACTGAGTATGGAAACATGTGGAGTCCAAGTGTGTTCTTCGTTCTAGATGAGATGAGGAGAAGATCAGCCAAGGAAGGGAAAGCCACCACTGGAGAAGGATTGGATCTAGGTGTGCTGTTCGGGTTCGGCCTGGCGTAACTATTGAGACCATAGTGCTCCGTAGTTTCGCTACAGAGTGAATGACAACTTCGGCAGCGGACTCGTCAAGAATACTGGAAGGATCATGCATGGTTAATTAAGGTAACTCTGTGTCAGTGTTTGTTCTTTTGTTTTTCAGATTTGATGATTCAATAAAGCATCTGTGCGGAGGATCCGGCTCCTGTGATAGGATCGGACTTCTCTCACGAAGTTCCTGTTGCTGCTGCTTTCGCATTTATTGTTTCTAAAATTGAATAAGATTTAATTATTATGTTATTAGAAGAGGTGGGATGCATCCCAGTGAGTTTCACTTGAATTTATTAATTTGATTCGTGTTTTGCAATGCCTTCGGAAGATCTCTGGAAGCCTTGCAGTGGATTCTTGGGAACATTTCTTTCCGAATCGGCTCCCTTTGGGATCCTTTTTTTACAGAAAAACTAGGACTGCCTCAAGCGGAAGCTAAAACATTTATCATCTTTTATTACCGGTATTTTCTGTATTAATTGATGCAGTGAAATTTCCTTGGATGGCTGTGTTAAGACACTGAACACAATCATTCTGTGAGAAAGTGACAAAACCTTACATTATCTTCCTATCCCTTTAAAGAAAGAAATGGAATGTAGAATGCGAGAAACTCATGCTTATTTGTTTCGAAGAGAGATCATATTTAGGGTTCGAGAGAGAAACAAATTCAAGGTGGGGTAATGGGAGGGCAAAAAAAAAAACAAAACCCTCAATTCTTTAAGGTGAGATCAATGAATATACTCACACATTAGACTTCTAATGAGAGCCATAAAACAATGAGACGCTATGTTGAGATTACAAGGTGAAATAGATAGAATCGACTCGGTATCATAGTTTTCGGATCCAATTCAGGTTTGTCTTAGTATAAAAACCCTAGTCATTGGATTGCCTAGTCAATCACGCGCAAATCATTGAATTAGTCAAAGTCAATTTTTTTAATTAAAATAATATTCTGAATTGGTTTTTACGTTATTTTAAAAATAATATTATTTTAAAATAATATTAGGGTTTGTCTTAGTGAAAAAACCCTATTCATTGAATTACCCTGCTATATATTTATCATTCTAAACTTCAATTGTCTTTTGAAAGACCCTATGTGTGTGTGTGAAAGTAGAGAAAAAGAAAGAGTTGTTGGGAAAACTATGAATAAATATAAAAGCAATAATCAAAATCTGATCGAATCAATTTATAATTTATAAGTTTTTTTTTTGTGTAATTAAAATCAGAATCAAACAATCAACAAATATAAAGCAACAATTACAGAAATCACTACTGAAATTTTTATGTGAAAAACCCGTTATGAGAAAAACTACGGACCATAATCCACTTAAAAATCTCCATTATCAATAAATAATAGATTAACAATTATTCTTTCTTAGATTCAACTAAGGACTACAACATATATATATATATATATATATATCATTAAGAACAACCTATTCTTGGAATACAACAAAATTAAAGAAAAAAATATTTGAGAAAAGCTCAAAACACTGATAGTTCTGTTTTCTGTCAAAACAGTCAGCTTCAACACCATTAATTTTTTATCTAACTGTTTATAATGAAGAATAACATATTTAGAAACTGTTGTCAAAATTTCAACTTAATCCAACAATGAACAAGATAGTAATAGAAAAATAAATACAGTCAATTTAGCTGTCTCAGTTACCTCTCTTTTTTTTCTTTTTTTTTTATAAAAATTATTACTACATCTATAATATAACTATATTTTAATTAAAAGAAGCAGCTTATAAGAATTAATATGGTAATTTTGCCGTCACATAACGTGGAGCACACAATAAAATTTTAATATATTTACCTGAATCCTATGAGCATATGTTTTCATTTTTCTTGGCTGATGCGCAGGTGAAAAATACAAAATAAGGAAACGTTACATGTATATCACCGAAGATACTATCAAGAAGAATAAAAAGAAAAAAAAACGAAAGCTTAAGCACCTACGACGCCGCGTCCCTCGATGCACGTCAAGAAATTCTGGTCACTGAGGTACCCAAGCTCGGCAAGGAAGCAGCATTGAAGAATGGGGCCAGCCCAAATGAAAGATCAGCCACCTTATATTTTGCACTTCTTCAGGTACCCATATGTCAGCGCAGATCATGAGCTTACTAAGCTCCTTGGCCTTGAACGTTCTGTCAAGAGATTCATGATGTATCAACAAGGCTGCTTCACAGCAGCCCTAGCCCTCCGCCTTTCCAAAGACCTTAGAATAATCCCGGGTCACGTGTTCTTATCGTGTGTTCTGAGAACATGACTGTTTGTTTCCGAACACCATCTGAGATTCACTTGGATATTCTTGTAGGCTCTGCGATTTTCTCTGACGGTGCTGCTGCTATCATATATTGTTGGGGCTGATCCTGACACAGCTACCGAGCGCCCATTATTTCAACTTGTGTCAGCCGAGCAGTGTATTGTTCCTGACTCGGATGATGGAATAGCTGGTCACATACGTGAAATGGGATTTCCTATTACTTGCATAAAATGGTGCCCAAAATCGTTGCGGAAGGCGCTGCGCGATGCTTGGTGGAGACATTCAGTGCTCGATTTGGGATCAAGGACTGGAATTCTATGTTCTACGTTGTCCATCCTGGAGGTACAGGCGTTTTGAACAAGTTCGAAGAGCACATTGGCTTGACGAAAGATAAATTGAGAGCATCTCGGCATGTGCTATCTGAATATGGAAACATGTGGATCTAAGTGTGTTCTTCGTTCTTGATGAGATGAGGAGAAAAAAATTATTGGTTTTGACTTATTCAGATCTAGTTTAATCAAATCAACTGAATGAAGATCAATATGCTCAATCAGAATTAAATTAAAACATGATTCAAATTAGACTATAAATTTTAAACTTATCAAATCAACCTACTAGTCTGGTTTCATACCTATGATGGGTATTTAGAACACAAAGTCCTCTGTATCCACATGTTATATTCTGAACCAAAAGAGAAATCGAAGGCAAAACTCGAGCGTTGCTCAAGATAGGAAATTATGGATTATAATTGTCATTACAATGTTATAATCCATGTTTTTATATATATATATATATATATAATGAAAGAAATCCAACAAAAACTTCTATCTGCAATATTCTAGCAATATTTTTGCACTTCAATAAAAATAAATTCAGAATATTGTTGAACACACAATTACAAGAAATTTTATAATACTTAAAAAGTAACCAATGATATCACATTCGTTATTTCATAAAACATACTTTAGATAAATAAATAAATATAAGGAGGAGAGAGATATTGGTTGACGGTAATTTCTTTTGTTGATTACTTTAAAAGAGCGTGATCCTTAACTAGCAGTTTACTAGGCAATAATAATTTAAATATGATAAATTGGCATTGTTTGCTGAGATGGACCTTGTTTTTGAATAGTAAAATTATTATTACTATCTTTTTTTACTGTAACTATAGACTCATCATCATTGTAGATTGGTATAATAAAATTATTATTTTTCCCTGCCCAACAGAAATAATTACCTTGGTAACTGGGGTATTATGATATTTTTCTTATTTTTTACATAATAAAATAGTTACTATTCCCTTAGAGACATAAAATAAAATAATGAACTAGACGTCTAGGGCTTTCTTTACATTTTTATTTTTAAAGCATGGTAAATTGTCTTTAACCCAGGTAAAAAGGGTTTTTGATTTTTTTTTATGGTTTTTTTAAATTATCAATTTTAATTAAGAGTAATTTAGTATTTTAACGTATATAAAATATTATTTAATATTAAGAGATGGGTTATACTTGCAGAGCATGCAATAGAGTGTGAGTATACCATGCTATTTGGATGGCATGCTCGATATTGTTTGGTTGCTAAACTCTAATATCTATGCAATAAAGTACTGTTAGTTTGTCGAGGGAAGGAGGAAATTGAAAGTAATATACACTGAAAAATAAATCACTCTTCCCATATGAGAGGGTGTTGGTTTCGAGGTGGTTTGGCCCTTTTATACACACACACACACACATATATATATATATATATATATATATGTATATATATACATACATGGGATCCATATAGCATGTATTTTTAATTTTTAAAAACACCTTTTAGAAAGAACCACCTCCAAATAATTGAAGTCAACCCACAAGTTGGTGAAGTTCCATGTCTGTCGCTGTTGCCTTTTCTACTGAAAACCGGCAAAGATTACAGAATCCATTGATGCAGACAAAGACAACAGATCTCACCTTAAGAAAGCAAGTGAAACAAGGTAATGCCTAGACCTGCCTACTTTCTTTTCTTGTTCAGTCAGGGGATGTTCTCTTTGCCATTTATGTTACTTTTTTCTTTCAAGGTTGTGATGCGGTTTTAGAATGTCAAATATTTGCTTGCATTGTTATAGCCTTGCATGATCTTTTCATCTTGATAGAATATAAGAATGAACTCACTGCCATTAGCTGTTGTTTCAAGTGCTAAGTGATTTGCTTTTCATTTTATAATCTTGGGGTTGAGGTGGGGGAAAGCCTTGGCAAGAAGGAATTGAATTGAGTGTGCGAGTTTATTTTGTTAGTGTAAGCTCAACATGGCGATGAATACAAGGACTTCAAACCCAATGAGTAATTCATGGATGCATTATAGATATTGTCAGTGTGCATATAATGAAAATCGTTTACAACTTATTGGTTAATTCATGGTTTTTTCAGGCTGATAAACTGCAATTTATTGGTTAATTTAAAAGTCTGTGATTAACTCTTGATGTAATTAAACTATTAATGGATGTCATGCTGATTTATTTAGCTTTACTTGAATGGGATTTCCCTCTCCTTCATTTTTTCTGACCATTTTATGCTTTCTTTTACAGGCTTTGTTGACACCTTCTGTTCTACATTGATCTTTAGTGCTTCCTCTTTCATTGCATTGTGAGATTTTAGTTTTGTCCGATGGCTGCTATGATAGACTGGAAAGCCTGCTCTTCAGTCCATCAGCACGCTTATGATGT